AAAAGGAGAGTAGAATAGTAATGTCATTGATCTTCTGAAGAAACTCCACACTGCTTCTTCATTTTCCTGTGATGAGATCTGCAGTCGGTCAGAAGTGGCAGGCTCAAAACGCCTATTTGGAAACCTGGCCTAGGATTTTTCTGGTGGAACGCATTCTGGTTAAGCTTCTCCATTTAGAAGGTCTGCAGAATGACGCGTGGTGTTCTCGGTTTGCCTTAAACTCCACACTGCTTCTTCATTTTCCTGTGATGAGATCTGCAGTCGGTCAGAAGTGGCAGGCTCAAAACGCCCCCTTGGAAACCTGGCCTAGGATTTTTCTGGTGGAACGCATTCTGGTTAAGCTTCTCCATTTAGAAGGTCTGCAGAATGACGCGTGGTGTTCTCGGTTTGCCTTCCAGGTACCAGGGAGTCAGCTTTTGTGTACGCTCTCTCCGCCGCAGCCATCAGCCACACCATTGCAAGAGCCTGCACCACCGGGGACCTCCCTGGCTGCTCCTGTGGTCCCATCCCAGGTGAGACACCTGGACCTGGGTATCGCTGGGGAGGATGTGCTGACAACCTCAACTATGGTCTTGTCATGGGGTCCAAATTTTCAGATGCTCCTATGAAGATGAAAAAATCAGGATCACAAGCCAATAAGCTGATGCACCTGCACAACAGTGAAGTAGGGAGACAGGTAACCAATGCAAGAGAGTTGTTGTCATTATGCAATCATCAACTGGGGTTTAACAAGGGATGGCAGAATGGAAACTCTGGCTGAGTCCTCAGGGGGATTGTCCTGGGTATACAAACTTAGATAGGCACCCAGAGGACAAATAACGGAGGTGGTGAAGTCAAGGGGCAGATTCTGGGTGCCATCAAGGGTAACAAAGTATGAGTTGAGTAGATCTGACCCACAATCAATGATCAACTTGTTTATCCTATGCCCACGCATTACAGAGTTCTTGTGTGGTTTATTCTGTGCTTAGTGAGAAGCAGAACTTCTCAGATCCAGTCTTTCTCCAATATGGCCAAGTAGAGCTGGGGAAGACCCTGCCTGGAATAGCCCTACACTGGATGAGGCCAAGGTCCATCTTGATCCAGCAGCCAACCAGATGTCTCTGAGGTGCTCACAAGCAGGAGACAGAAACAGTTCCTCTCCCACCCTTGTTCCCTGCAGATGGGATTTGGAGTCCTGCTCCCAACCCAGAGGACACATGGAATCTTCAGGTGCAATAACCTGCATAGATTCCTCCACCCACTTCCCTTTGAAAGCCATCTGAGTTAATGGACATCACAACATCTTAAAGCCAGAAGAGCAGACCCGCTCAATCAGGCCAAGGCCTATTTCAGTTCAATAATTTGTTTCTTGCTGTGGCCAATGAGATGCCTCTGGGGCTCTCAAGGAGGAGATGGAGACATGTTCCTCTCCCACCCTTGTTGCCCTGCAGGTGAGGATGGGAGCAGGTGAGATTTGGAATCCAGCTGTTCCCAACCTGGTGAAGATCAACAGTCCTTGATAGGTCTGTTTTTCATGAATGTATCCAATTTCCCTTTTAAGGTTATCCGAGTTAGTGGCCATCACCATATCTCCTGGGAATAAATCCCCAAACCCACCTGTGGCTTCTGAAAATCTTGGAGGCCCAACAAACAGTAATTTGTAATGTGTTAGAAGGGAGAAATTATTAAATCCATAAATTTAAATGAGATAAAATTGGAGGACCGGGGAGTCCTGGTATCATTCATTTCTTTGGCCTGTCACGCCCCTCTTGAAATGCAGGTTCTGACATGCCATTCAGTGATCAGATGTGACTCAGAGGGCAACTGCGATAAAAATCCAGTAAAAATCTGAGCTTGAAAGTGAAATAATAATAGATTCATGCTCCAGCTGAGAATTACACATGAGTAATGAATTCCACATGAATTACCCATGAGTAATGCGTACACATGTCGAGTTTAAACAATATACTTAACTAGTTCAAATACGGATCTAACTGATGCTTTCACGCAATGGTCAGTATTAACCTGGGTGACCTTTGGGTTGGCTTAGGGAAGTGTTTCTCAACCTTAGCAACTTTAAGATGTGTGGACTTCAAATCCCCCGAATTCCCCCCCCCACATCGCCGGGGGGGGGGTTTTGGGGGGTGTGGTGCCCACAAATCTAAAAGGGGCAAGGGGGAGGGAAATTGTTTTTGGGGGATTTGGGT